GGCTGTCGTCCTTGCGCCTTACTTGTCGCTGCTACGGGGCGACGGAAAATGGAGCCACGAGCGCTGCCCATACAGGTCGCCATAAAGCGTTTGGTATAAGCGGTTCGGTGGAAAACGCCAGACAATTGTTTCCGGTAGTGTGTCGCCTATGGTGCAGAATGATCGCGTCAGTCACGGACGTTTGTTTTGAGTATGCTTCAATAAAACGTCAAATGTCGGACGAGCTGCACCTGGAACGCGGTGGCGTTCCGAGAACGCCGTGGGCGCGTCGCCGAAGGTCGTGAGATCAAAGCGTTTCCGCGTGAACAGTCTCACAATAACGTCAGTACACGCGCAGGTACCCACGTCGTGGCAAATACAAGACGCTGGCCGAAAATTCGGTAAACATCTTTTCAACGGCCGCGACATTCTGGACCTCCTGTCTTCATCAACGATTTGGCCCGATCTGTTTCATGCGGAGTCTGTCTTCGGCACTGGCCCACAGGCCTCTCGCCATCTGGTATGCCTTGTTTCTTTCCGCCGGACATGTGTTTTCTACTCAGCAACAAAACGCACAACCATATACACGATTTAAATTTCCGAAAAATTGACAGCTTATATCTCAGTCGCCGTGCGAGAACGTTGGGTTAATGACGCCGTGAGGCGTCGCCCGCATTGCAGTCGCGCCTCACAGCGTAGAAGACGCGTCGGTATTGAACCCATGAGGTTTGGTGACGAGCGCGCATGACCGCCGGTGATGCGCCGTTTCAAGGCATAGATCCTCAATAGACAACTCCATATAAGCGGCGAGAGTCGTGGCTCGCGAGCGTACGCCGTCTGAGAACGCGGTATTGATCGCCACACTGGTCCGCGGTATCGAGCGCGGTTTTTTTCAAGTTTTGTCAATTTGCTTGGCGACTTGTTTCCGCGTTTGCTGTCTCGCAGTTTGCTACGGCGATCTCTCGTATATTTTCTGGTCGGGTCGTCGCACCGGTTGCGGTCTCCGGCGGTGCATGGTTTCGAACCGTCCGGGCGGGCCTGTGACTGGGGGGCGTATCAAACCGCACGACGCCGCACGCACGTATGCACACACGCACAAACATGCATAACCATCGATAATAGCATCCATGCCTGAACCCACAGTGAGCAAACATCCACTCACGCATCTACATGTGTATCTCAAAACACGTACGTACACACACGGACGCACGCACGCACGCACACGCACGCAGATACACACGCAGACTCAAAGGAAGTAAAATGAATCATAACAGACATGTGTTCTCGAAAGCTCGCAAAATAAAAAATTTACATCTCTTTTTCAAATTTTTCTATATCTGCATGGGTGGTCCGAGCGTTTTTACTTGTGTAAACGCACTACTATGTGTAATGCGTTGTATACACCAACCCGCAATACAAACACAAATTCTGTCACCTGTCACGGAGCGACATACACTGGAACACAGAACATTGAGTGTGGGTGTTACAGGAAAGCATCTGATCATTAGGTATGGAAGGCAAGTCATATGAAAGATTAAACCTCGTTAGACACATTACAACCAATTTAGCATTTAAATTGTAGCCTTTCACATTCCCACACGTACATGAGCTCCTCCAGCAAAAGCATTTCAGTCCTTTGTTAAGGGTAAAAAATTGTACACCAGTGGCAAGTACATTTCATGATCATTTCAATGAAGTTGTGAAAATGTCGGAAATCGTTCCTTTGTCAGTGCTGGAAATGACACCCCGTTGACTAGTCTGGGACGAGTATCTTTTCAGAAGGACTGACTAATTTTGATAAATTTTGCTATAGGTTATATAGAAGAAATAAAAATTTTCTAAGGCTAAGTCTTCAGACTTATTTCCTAAACTACCTTTGCCTCACTACACTTTGAGCTGTCACCTCCGATTTTGCGAAGGTGATGGCTTTACGTCACTGTGGGACGATTTACATTTGTGCCACGATTCTGCATGATTTCCTCAACGCTGGTCTTATCGCGTAGCTATGAAAATATTCCCCTTTCCCTTCACACCTCTTGACCTTTGTCGGCAGATACGACCTTCAAATCTCATTTCGGATTGCCGCACTAGACCCCGATTACGAGTACGGCAAACCAATTAGATTTATTTTGCTATTATTATAACACCCCCGCAGACATACAGTCGACGAGCAGACGATGCATAACAGCGGCACTGCGTGAGCTCATTCTTAGCAAGATGAGCTAAAAACAAGCAAATTCCTTTAAGCAGAGCGCGTTGGTCTCCCCGGCGCCTGTTTTAAGTCATCGCGGGGGTGCATGCCCTGGGCTACCGCAAGCAACACGGCTAGCTATAGCACGGATGTATATGCACCACAGACGATAGAGATAGACCCCGTTAATGTTGAGCTGTTCCTGAACGATCCTGCTGCTTCTTATAACGTCACAAAGACTCACTCGTAAGAGTTGGCTCCGATCTGTAGGTAGATTTAATAGCATCGCATCCACCGTGTCATTATAACCTGCAAAAAAGCAAGACGCATTGCTTTGAAATGGGCAAAATTTACATTCTTTTTATCAATTCAGGCCGATTCTACAAAAACCAATTCCAGGATGGGAATAGAATAATCGGTTTCACGACGTTATTGTGGCCTTCAGAGCTGCAGTGACAATTAATTAAACCCTGATGAAAAAAAATCTGCACGCAAATGAGATTTGACCCGTGTGGCAGGTTGTCAACACCTTACCAAACTTGGGCTAATTCTTGGTCAATTCTACCCTTACATATGCGTATTACATAACCATTAGCACGACATTATAATTATAATTATAACACAACATTAGCTCTTCGCGGTGTGTGAGATTTGTGCTAAGTAATAATCCAGTTCACACCTGTTTGCCCATCGGTCGCTACGCGTTTCAATAGCCTCGTTCACACGAGACCTCGTATTTCTGAAATACCGGATTTCTTGCTACGTGTGAACGCGGCTATAGGAAACCTGCTTAACTGAGTTTCCCATGCAACTCATTAATGGAAATTAAAGCAGCAATGAGAAACTCCTACCAGATTTCACCCACATGAAACGGAATGACACATCGCAGCCCACAATGATGACATTCCTACAAACCCGGCCTTCACATCACACCCGGATACGTTGCTAAGGCAATGAGTATTGCACACACGCAAGCGGGTCAACATACGGCCGCTGCATGCGCAGCGATGCAGCATACTTCATGCTGCACACGTCCGCGTACGACTCTTACCGCGCTGGGTCTAGCTATTAACTACCCTACTATAGAGCTTCGTCATGTGATCTGCTAATTACAGAGACGAAGCCATCAACATTACGAGAAAGCCCGCTCATGCAATACCATCTGTGATTGTACGCGGCTGGTTCACTGGCATTTCAATTTGTCTTTTCGAGTAAAAATCGTTTCAGATATAACGACTAGAGATCTACTCTCAAAGAGAATTTAATAAAAGAAAAACTACATGATAAATAAAAGTAACTACCTATCTTCAAAGGTCAATAGATTCATTTTGTCTTTTCGAGTAAAAATGGCTTGACGTATAACGTTAACTCTATATGAGAATGTAAAAACCACTACATGATAAAGGAACTACATATACGCATATGTACCTGCCACAGTACTCAAGCTCATTGTATCAAACATGTATTCGTACTTATATAAATTCTATAGACGGACATTTCCCGCCTTTTTTTCATCATTAAATCCAACCCGTCACACCGCGGTGGCGCCCTTACGCGCTGCTACCGGCGCGACGGGAAAATGGCCCAGAGCCGCCAAAAAGGTCGCCATAACTGTATATTAGCGATGTGGAGAACGCCAAAGAACATCGGGGGTGGGTCGCCATGTCGCCCACATAGATCCCGGGATTCACAGCTTTTGGGAGCATTTCAAAAAAAACAACAACGCCCAAAATTCGTGCGACTCTGACCCTGGAACCGGTAAAAAACGCGTGGGTCGGCCCCAAGTTCCGAGACCAAGCGTCCGTAACATCTCCACCCTAACAACGAGACACGCGCAATAAACACGCGTCAAAGACCTGCGAAAATGGTAACCATTTCAACGGAGAATTACATGGATCTGTCACATCCGATCTGCCATATTTTTCATAGGCGATCTGTACTCCGAGCCAACGGCCACGGCCTCGGCCATCGTAGCTGTTTCTTCGGCAGCCGTGTTCTACTCAGCAAACCCCCACACTATACCAGTTAAAATTTTCGAATCTACCAGCTTATAAGTCCGCCGGTGAGAACGTCGTAGAAACGCCGTGAGGTCGCCTGTCAGTATCGCATACACTAGAAAGCGCGTGGAAACACCGCCAGGAGCGTGGTGAGCACGCGTACGCGACGCCGGTGATCCCGTTCCCAAGTCCATAGATCTCAATAGAAACCCATAAGCCCGGAAGAGCCTGTGCGGCGCGCCTTGAAACGCGATTGATCGACAGGTCGCGGAAGACGCGTTTTTCAAGTTTCTAAGTGTTGGACTTTTTCTCGCGTTGTGTTCGCGTTGCCCCGCGAACCTTTACATTTCTGTCGCCTACGTCGCGGGGGGATGTCCCCCGTCCGTGTGACGGGATTACAACATAATAAATAGTTCAACAAACAAGTTGTGACAGTGACAGCACGGTTTCCTTACATTTTGTATTGCAAATGACTAGTGATATGCCATCAGACACGGAGTCACAGTAGGCCGGCCAGACATACACAGATGCGAGGACTGCATGATCATTTTGCATGCAGACTGCAGTGTTGCACGGCGCTCTACACGTAACAAGGTGTTATATAGCGCCTTAGTGTACAGTGCGCGAACACTGCGAGTTTCACGAAAGAACTGCATGACGCTGGTAAAATATTAAACCCGCAGAAATTGAAGATAAAAGGTTGAGCGAGGGTCGATGGAAAACTATAAAATATTGCACTAGAGCAAAACGCACGTTGTTTAGGAAAGTCCAGCCTTTAAACTGATACAAATGATTCGGGTTTTGATATCATGTTTCATCTCGGGAGGTTTTAGAGTAAGCAAATTTTAAGAATCGGTTTACTGCTGTTAATTTTAACCAAAAATAAATTAAACAATTTAATTAAAAAAAATTAATTAAAAATTAATTTCTACTGTATTTTTAACCACACAATAAACCAACAACAATAAACCACACATCTAAAGCAATATTCAGCAACCACTGCTTATTACCTGTTATTTTTATCTGTGGTATGAGATCAGAGGTCCGGTACACGAAGTGATGCCCGTGTGAACTGTCCTTCACGGGTTCAATGTGGTACGCCTCTTCGCCATCATCCACAAAACCACTGCAAATACACACCAAAGAAAATCCGTATAAGTTTGCGATATAGTTAACGACAATAGTGAATCGGCAAGAATAACGACGACATAGACAATAGAAGCTATATAACAGTGCAACATACACTCCAATTTTACCACGTATGCACATCTCATAGCCACTGACTACCACCTATGCAAGGCAGTCAATGACTTTCATGGGTGACAAAAAGGATGAAATGACATCCTCATCGAAGACAACAACTGCAGCCTGTTGAAATAAATTGTCACGTCAGACCATGGGACCGGCTTCAAACAGTGGCTAGCCCATTCGTCACGTGTATAAACAACGTCGAATTAAAGACCCATTCACGCCTCGTATCGGTTTGCCACCCCCAGATTATGTTCGCTTATTCTATTTTTGCTGTGAGTCACAGAGGCAATGAACCCCAAGTTTACGCTGTTGTTTCCGCCCCTGCTGCCCACACGGCTGTGGAATTCACCACGACTACATGAAGGAGTTTTTATCATGCTATGATGACTGCATTCGGAAACTATAAATGACTGGAATGACTACTCTTACCCCCTGCTGCCTCGCTTTCTGTTGCCTTCCACAACTCCATATCTATCTTCTCTCCTCTCTCATTTAGACTGTTCTATTTCTCTCGCGTGTGCACTACTAGCTCGTCCCCTTTTCATCTTCCTCTCTTTCATTTCCTCTTCTAGGCTTTCGTGTCTGGCCTATGCCTCTTTTATTGTTTGCTCTCGTACTCTCTCGACATGCCCAACAGTGTGCTTTACAGCATTCTGAAGGGGAATCGTACAGAAATGAGTCAATTCAACAAATCTGAGCATCTCCAGTCGCCACACTCTGACTCACTGTTATACGGACGGGTAGGCAATTGTTTTTCGTTTTGTGGGGACAGTAACCCGCGGAAGCTTTGTTTCAAGCTTTGAAAGCTTTGTTTCAAGTTTCTTTGCATCCACAAATAGACCTGGACCATCCGCATCACATGATCATGATCAGGCGCTAAATCCGCAATAAAACTCGTGCAGGAATCGCTATATAACTATATAACTATATACCACTTTCCGGCTGGTAACCTTCGGCTGAACACCTAATAAGATTGCATTTTGCATCGCAGAACGTATATATAGCTACACTCCACGCATCTGTACACACTGACAGATGGAGATCGTATTCGACAGCGCTGCCATAGAGTGAAGCTGTACAGATAGTACGGTTCTTTTTGAGTTTCCCTTGCTGCTAAACTAACTAAGACTGTCATATCGTTATGCACGAACGTAATTTCTACATGTATGTCGCCCAGCATCGAGAGTTTCATTTTAATTTAATTTTAGCTAACATCTAGATATTAAGCTAATTTATTTATACAAAAAAACTTTCGACACTACCCGAAACCATATGAAATCAATTACATTACAAGTCCAAATATGCCAACACAAAAGTATTCAATATTTATTTATGTGATGAAGCACCAGTAGAGTTGCAAAGAAATTATGATGAAAAGGTTGCTATTTGACGTGATTTGGCATGACTAAATTACAGACTATAACACTGGTAAACTCTTAAACTATTAATTGTTTATTAACTATTAATATATCGTAAACTCTTAAACTATCATACTCTTGAAGTGTACATATCAAACTGTGACTATACCGATACAGAGTGACACATGATATCATATCACATTTTATAACTGGAGCATTTAAAATCGATTGGTTGTAAATTCCGATTAAACTCTGTCAATAGAAAGAATCAAATATGTAAATGTTGTCTATATGTGACACATACATGTATGACGCGTGTAATTTATGCTGCATTGTCTAGTGACTGGACATGAAGCGTGGACACTTACAAGGGGTTATTTTACAATAGGAGTTGATAAAACGTAACTACAACAAGAAGTAGATAGCTATAACGTGCGGGCGGCGCAGCAAAAACAATCGACACTTCCCGGGAGGTATCACGGGGGGATCACTGTCAGAAGCAATCTAGACTACGAATTCATATCGCAAGGCAATGTCAGATCCTACACCGGCAAGAACGTTAGGCATTTCTACACACCCTGAAAACGTATTTGCATTTCTGTACACTATCTATTAACACTTGATGAAGAAATGGTGATCGCATTGCAATAGCTCGTATCATGTCTTCGTAAATATACACGTAGTAGAATTACCTCTGCTGCTTTTAATGCCCCAACAGTGCAGTGGTGCATGAAAGCATTTCAGATAAAAACTCTTTTTAAACAGACTGGAATATCTCGTTCTTTTGAGACAAAAACCATTCAAATTTACGCTAAAAACTAGGCCAACATTGCAATAGATACCCTGAGCGAGGATGGCTATACAGTATGTGTACAAATACAATCTATGTACAGTTATATACGATGTACGGCAAAGAAACATTTGAGAAAATTGGTAATGTAGCGACAACATTCAATTTTGGCTATAACGAAGTTGTGGCTTTTAGAATATTAATAAGTAAGCAATTAAATTTATTCAAATAACTTTTGAAATTGCCAACGCGCAATTGCAATAAGCATGCAGTGCTCACGTGAAAGGCATATTAATGCGAATACTGCAGAATTTCTTCAAAGCGAGACTTGCTAGCACATCAATCATTTCAAATCCGATGGACACGCTCTTGCATGGGACTAATTAATACCCGCAACATGTAAACCCCACACGATAAAATGCGCGTTTTGGAAATGCACGCACAATACGGAAAAGTATGTGTAAAAACTTTACCGTGATATTGTCTGCGACTTGCAAAGATTTTTTTTTTACTTGACGGTTTGCAAGAAGTCACTTTGATCAATGCTCATGATCATGATCGGAGCTGGGATTTAATGATTAGCGTTGGTAAGGAAATGCATTCGCGTGTGCCTTTATGTCATGTCATGCCGTTCTGACAGAAAAGATTTATCCCGTAATGTGACAGCTACATACGCGGAAAGGCACCACTGCTGCGTTGTATCAAAAGTTCATAAAAAAGACTCGATCTCTTCATAATAGAATAGCTTGTATCAAGAGTAGATAATAACTACAGTGGTAGTGTTATTATCTACTCTTGCTTGTATTTAGTGAGCTATTGGAGACGCTGGATGATAGTACACTAGTAATAAAGGAGGAAATAATATTCAGGGAACAGTGGGGGGGGGGCACAGAGAACAAGGTTAGTAGACTACATAAGCATTTCAACGATGAAATGAAAAAAATCTTTTTAAAAAGATTGAAAAAAGAACGATGTATTAATTAATAGGGAATTCTATCAACACAGACACAACCAATAGAGAAGTCACGGATGCATACTATTGCCACAGTTAAGCAATAACGTATAGCAGTGTGAAACCTATTGGGCACCGAAGTACATAAAACACAAAAAGCAGCAAGAAGTCGGAGCAACGAAGCACACATTACATCTGCAAAACTCCATAAACTATAAGCACTGCGTTACAATTTGTTTTTTTACTGCGTTATTTTTCCCGCTCTTCCCATATTGTTCCAGCAGACGTGTTTAGAGCGTCGACTGGCCGGGCCGGCACAATTTTTTTGCCCACGCGAGTTCCGGAATACAGCCAATCAGCACACTCCATTCACTCGACTTGCTCGAAGCAACAATGAAAAATGAATCAAATGTCACTTTAACCCTAACCCTAGCACTAACTCAGCCCTAACCCTAACACTAAATTTAAACCGACTCACACGCTTATATACAAACACATCGTACAAAACACTATCTATGGTGTATCCGGAACTCGCGTGGGAAAAATAATTTCGCGGCCGGGCCAACAGACTTCAGATGCAGGTATAGCAGTTGGATGCATTACTAAACATTCAGCATCAACGCGGACCGTAGCTCCAAGAAACGGTATTGCTAGGGTTAGAATACGACGCACAGCCTGTAGACAATCCGTCGCACAGCCTGGTCGGGCTACGCGAACCGGAGCTTTTCAAGCAGCCTTTTCAAACTTTGAAGCTTGAGCTGTGAACTTGAGTTTCCCCCCCCCCAGCTTTTACAAACCAAAGCTTAACTGGATGTGCTACGTATCCATGCTAGCCACGTAGAGCGCGACCAATCCTCGTACTAAGACGAGGAGTGACTAACGACAACGACAATACAACCAACGCAAGAAATGTTTGCTTCTGTACATCGAGACCATCCGTGGCATTGGTGCTATGCAGGGACTTTACTGGGATTTTACATTCCCCCACCCCGTACTATAGTTTCTACACACACTGCGGTCCCCCTACCCCCTATGGAGGCAACGCGTTAGTTTCTAAACACACTGCGGTAACGCAGAGAGCAGGCTACACACACCGGCACTTGGAGAGTTTCAATAAAATATAACGCTCAATAAATACGAAATCTATTAACTACCAAAGTCTTAATGTTTCTATACTCTCTTTCACCTATTATTGCCGACAATTTTCTGCAAATGCCGTCCAAATGCTCATCTGCAACAAACGCTGGCTGCATGCCGCCATGGCTGCATGCCGCTGCACACTGACACATAAATATATTTATATTATTTGGACGGCATTTGCAGGAAATTGTCGGCAATAATAGGTGAAAGAGAATATAGAAACATTAAGACTTTGGTTGTAAATAGATTTCGTATTTATTTAGCATTATATTTTATTGAAACGCTCCAAGTGCCTGTGGCTACACACGCGCTACGATACGCCAGAGATCTCCACACTAGCTGGACATTCACACATGCATCGTTGCGCCCCATTAAACCTAGCTCACAACAGAGATCTCTGAGCAGCCGCGTCTCTCCCTCAGAAGCTGAGCTGTACGCATGCGACACAGCGATGCTACTGTGTCCGAAGACAACCGACAGGGACGTGGAGGCTGCGTGGTGCTGTCTGATTGCTATACTCTCTCGGTCGTATATACACACACGCGCGCGCGCACACGCACGCACACGCACACGCGCACGCGCACCCACACACACGCACATACACTCACACACGCACACACGCGCGCGCGCGCACA